TGGAAAAGATTCCCATTTTATTTTGGGTTTCCACAATAAATCCAAACTGGAACACAACACTTAAATTGATTTCCTTGTTTGGAAAAGATTCCCATTTTATTGTGAGTTTCCACAATAAATCCAAACTGGAACACAACAGTTAAACTGGATTCCTTGGTTGGAAAAGATTCCCATTTTATTGTGAGTTTCCACAATAAATCCAAACTGGAACACAACACTTAAATTGATTTCCTTGTTTGGAAAAGATTCCCATTTTATTTTGGGTTTCCACAGTAAATCCAAACTGGAACACAACACTTAAATTATGGAAAAGATTCCCATTTTATTTTGAGTTTCCACAATAAATCCAAAGTGGAACACAACACTTAAATGAGTTAAATCTGGTTAAATCTTAACCAGTGCTCCACAAAGGATTTTCACTTCTAAAATTTGATTTTCCCTTCAGATATTTGAAACCTTTTCTCAGGATGTTGAAAGGGTAATTTCAGGATTTGAAATGTTAATTTCAGGAATTTTTTCCTCTTTTTATTCCCTCACCCTCACCTGTCTTCCATGGAGTCTTCCCTCCTGTAGGGTGAGTTCCTGATGGTGATTTCCATGCGATGGTCTCTCAGCTCCCCCTCCTCAAGAGAATCCCTCTTGGAATCCCTGTCATCTGACTGAGGGAACAGGGGAAAATCTGCTTATTTGTATGGTTCAAAATAAATAAAATTAAATATTACTGAAATCTTCCTCTGCTGGCTCAAAAATTCAGCCTGGATTGGTCACCCCTGTGAAATCACTGATTTGTGCTTTAATTTGACAAAATGAAACAAAATTAGACAAAATTAAACACTGAGAAGGAGTGCACTAATTATTGTGTAGTATTTTCTGCAATAATTATTTTGAACACAACTGTACAAAACCAAACAGCAACAGAAAAGTGATTCCAAACCCAGAATTTTAACCCATTCTTCTATAAAATCTTTAAAAGTTGTTCCTTGAACTGCAAGCCCCAGTTGATAACTTTATTTACATATTTTTTGATTTCTTTAAAATTAATTTATTTAAACATTAATTATTGCATATCATTATATATAATTATCTAAATTTAAAATATAAATTAATTTCTTTCTCTTTTCTGACCAATAACCAAACAGCAAGATAAAATTTATTCCAAACCCATAATTTTAACCCATTCCTCTATAAAACCTTTAAAAATTGTTCCTTGAAATGCAAGCCCCAGTTGATCATTAATTTTTATTTATTTATATTTTTAATTTATTTACAATTAATTTAATTTAAACATTAATTATTGTACACAATTACATATGATTATCTAAATTTAAATTATTAATTNTCTATAAAACCTTTAAAAATTGTTCCTTGAAATGCAAGCCCCAGTTGATCATTAATTTTTATTTATTTATATTTTTAATTTATTTACAATTAATTTAATTTAAACATTAATTATTGTACACAATTACATATGATTATCTAAATTTAAATTATTAATTTTATTAATTTATTAATTTTTTTTCTGACCAATAACTATAAGAAATCACAGTATATAATGCAAGAGCAATGAAATCTTCACAAAGCTTTATATTTTTGTAAAACTTTGGAATTAGAGGCCACACAGAAAAGACTTCAGCTGACAGAGCACCAGAAAAAAATCACCAGAAAATGAGGATACAGGCAGTGCACCCCATTAAAATGCAGTTTTCTATTAATAAAGTAAATAATTCAATGAAATGAGTCCCAAGTGCAGCTTACATTTTTCATACGTTTGATCTCTGCCTTCTCCTCTTGCTCCTTCCTTCGCTTCTTCTCCTGGAGAATCTCATCTAAAGTCTTCACCTTCCAAGAATCCTTTTCATCACCCATTTGAGTTCCAAAAAACACCCTCTGCAAAAGGAGGAGACACTGAAAAACCCCACAAATAAATAGAAATAAATCTATTTCACACCCATTTATTTAATGTTCTGTTTTTGAGTAAGGCCATGGTAGAGTTGATTTATGGTGGAGCAAAATTGTTTTGTTTTAAACCCCAAGAAAGACTCTGTAAGAGCTCAGGGAGCTGCTGGAGGGCAAGAAAACCAATTTATGCCCATTATTTAATAATGACCTGAGGTAACAAAGCTTTGGAAAAAAAGTACAAAGAATGCAGAATTTATGGCAAAATCATGAGATAAGGAAGAAAATAATGAAGCCAACTGTGCTAAAATCAGCTGTCACTGAGGAAAAGGTAATTCCAGCACAACCACAGAGAAAGGCACTAATTAGCATGAGAAGTGGAAGAATAATTAACACATGGAAGGCAGAATATTAATTAACAAGAGCACTATGTCATTTACATATATATATATATATATATGTGTGTGTGTGCCTATATATCTGTCACTTTATATATATATATATATATAAAAATGACATAGCATATATATATGTATATATTATTGAGATTTATAAACAGCAAAAATTTGCAAACAGGGGTTTGATTTGTGGAAGACCCCAAGCACCTAAAAGGAATGGTGGATTTGTCTTTCCAAACCAGC